TTTACGGACGCCACTTCAAGGTAGTGACCGACCGTCATTCGTTGTGCTGGTTAGCCAATCTACGGGACCCGTGTGGGCGACTGGCACGATGGACTCTTCGTCTGCAGGAATACGATTTCACGATCGCTTACAAATCCGGTCGCAAGCACGAAGACGTGATTCATTGTCCCGTGTGCCTGTCGAAGTTCGTGGCCACGACACAGAGGATGACGGTGGTTTCCTTGGGGCCCCTACTACAGCGGATCTGATTATACGACAGCGCGCGGACGACGAAATTCGCGCAGTTATCGAAAATCTTGAAGGACGCAACGCTTTCATACCTCGATGTATTTCTAGGTCTGTCGTCGTTATGTTTGTGAGATGGGGTCCTGTATAAGAAAAACTTCAACGGCAATGAGAGAACCTATCTTCTAGTTGTGCCAACTGACATGCGTGGCGACATTCTTCTCGCCTGCCACGATGAGCCCACATCTGGTCACTTAGGTTCCTCTCGCTAGAGTTCGACAAGCGTACTACTGGCCTAAGCTTTCCGCATGCGTTAAGCGATACGTGAAAAGCTGCCGGGAATGTCAACGCCGCAAATCCCCGCCACTGAAGCTCGCGGGGCTTCTTCAACCAATAGAACCACTTATAGCGCCATTCGATCAAGTAGGAATGAAATTACCGGGGCCCTTTCCGCTATCATCTGCCGGCAACAAGTGGATAGTATACAAGCCGAAGAAGCACGCCAGTACGCCAAAGAAGCATGCCAGTTAGCACGCCTACACATTACGCACCAGCAGAGTATAGACACATGCCGCTACAACGCTCACCATCAACAAGTTGAATACCATCCAGGCGATCAAGTTTGGGTGGACTCTACTTCGACGCCCGGGATTATCAGAAAAACTGCTCATTCGCTACTTCGGACTGTACAAAGTGTTGCGACGCGTGAGCGATGTTAACTACGAGGTAGTCCCTGACGACGCCTTTTCGCCACTGTGGCGAAGGCACTCCTCGGAGATTGTGCGCGAAGTGCGACTGAAGCCGTACTTCACGCGGTAGTGCGACTGTGCATGAACCTTATTGCTGTTTTTTTTTGATGCGTGTATTTCTGTTGGTTCGCTCCGACTTTGCCTTTGTACTTTCCGAGCATCAGAGTGATGCTCTTTTTTTTTTTTCAGACGGGAATAATGTCACTTGGCCTCTAGGTACGGCGAGTGAAAGCCATGGCTGCCCGCTAGAATGGAAGACGATGTTCTGGGGCAGCGCGTGCTCTGATGTTGAATACTGCAGCAGCCATCTTGCCAGTTTTCGGTGCGTCTCCCCGCCGGCTCAGTTCTTCCGAGTTGAAGACCTTTTGCAGCACGCGACAATATTTGATGCAAGAGTCAGCCGGTGCGATAAAATTTGACGTTTTCGGTGGTGTCGCCTTCGGGTACTGGGCAACTGAGTCTGCATCGGTGCGTGGCGACGATGGGTGGTGTGTTTATGGGGAAGATTTGGCACTTTTGTTATCGTGCGGCTGTGTCGCGAATGTATCATTGTCGCTGCTTGGCTACTGTTATAAACTTTTATGTTAATTCAGTAAAAATCCGTGATAAAAGCCTGTCCTACGTCTCGTTTGCATCCCCGTTTCTTTTGCCCTACTTATTGCGCATCAGTTATGACCCAACTTACTCAAGAACACCCCTTACTCAGTCTATTTTTACGTTTCACGAGGCTTTCGTTCTAAATCAGACAAAATAAGCAGGAAACATCGGAGGGTGAACCTCGATGTGACGTTAAGATCTACTGAAACGTGCAGTTAGCTTGGTTGATACTGTGAGGCGTGTGATTGCTCCGTCATAACGTCTTGATAGTCTTCAGTTTACAAGGGGATAACATAACATCTTAGGACGAGCCTGAGATTGGGTGATCTTGTAGATGTGCTCGCTTCCGAAGAAATCGGAGTACAAAGGAGATGTGGTTAGTTTCACTTAGTTCCGTCAAATTGTGTAACTGGGAATTCTCGACAAGCGGATCTCAAATCGCTCGGTATACGGAGCTAGAAAATGAACGCCTAAGCCCTAGGCTGCAGCGGCCAAGCGAAAATCCTGCCGACGTCCATGGGCCGAGCTTACACGAAGTTACTCTCGTAGCAAGCAAATTCTGACACGTGCTTGATACTTCTATGGGGAAATGCGTGCACTGCTTTTCCCTGAATGTTTGCGCGTCAGGTGCGCTCTCACTGGAAAGGAAACGGCACCGGGCGAGCAGGTGTGTACATTGTGATCAACCAAAACAAAGAAAGCAATGCATAAAAGCAGCAGCAGAGAAAAATTAGCATGAAACAGCAAGCTCGACACGTACGAGAGGTAAGGGCGAATACAGCGAGGTCTGGCTGAGTGAATCCTGGCGTCTGCCACACAGAGAACTTCAAAGCACTTCGAGTTTCCCTCAACATTACGAAATGGTAAGACGACGCAAGAAATATGTGCAGTCACAGT